TCTTAAAAAAAAAAAAAAGGAATAGACTTTGAATTAGGTCTCTGTCAAATGTCAAGACAGATTTTGTTCAATCCTTTTCAGGGTATGCTGCATCAGACATTTCTTAACATTAAATCTTCTCAATCCCGTCTCTTAACTTCAGTTAAGATCAAGTTACCATACCAGTTCTACCATGCCAGATCTTAACTGTTTTCTCTCAGGTGCATTGTGGTCCTCGGGCAACATAGATCTTCCCTTCCTGGGGCATAGATGTCATCAAAACCTTCTCTGAGGGTACCTCTTACCATTACTTGCAAACTGGAGGCTGTAGTGTTGAATTGGCCTATTTCCCTTTTCTGTTTCACTTTCCCCTGACATCAATTTTGATTTGGGGGATCACGTTATAAATGAACCATTTCACTTAAGAGTGTCTCAGGAACAATTTTGGAGGATCACTTATTAAGGCATCTACTTCAAATATTATTACTTAAATAATTACAGCACTTGGCAAAAGGACATTGGATACATGGTCTGTATCCAATAAGAATATATGTAACAAGTGTTACTCTCTGGACATTCCAAGATCTTTCTGGATCTTTGCCCAGAGATTTCTTTCTTTGTTAGATTTATGACTTGTAAGATTCCTGCTCATTTGTCACACCTTATCTCATTTCTATCTCTACTATGTAAAAACCCTGAGTTTCTGTAGGAAACAATATAATTTGCCAACAAACAATTTGAGTTCTGAAAATATCAGAAAAGTGCATTTCCCAACAATCCCAGTAAATGCTGAATGAAATTATCCATTCCCTAGTACTTGCATGCACTTGCATGTACCTGGCACAGAGTTCTCAACAGTGAAATGTGGTCAGAGGTCATGTAAGTACTTGAGGTCATGTAAGTACTTGAGGTCATGTAAGTACTTGACTAGCCTAGACATAGAGTAGTGCACGATTTTTCATTCTCCATCTCTTTCTGTCCATACAGTCAGAAGTGAAGGACACAAAGCTGATGAAACTGCATTGGAAGTAGCTTGGTTCCTGGTTCATTACTTAGAGAGTTGCCTAGGAATATCATCAAACCACATTAGATTTACTCGAGTGAAAAATGAACTTTCTTTGTGTTAAGCCATTGAAATGTTACATTTTATTTCCACTTCAGGATAGCCTAACATACCATAACTAATGTCCCAGACATGTAGGATTCCTTTTTGTTCCTACGAGACTCTAGATGCAACTAGATTAAACAAGAATTTAATTCTAATGTCTCATTTTATTTCTGCCCATTTGACTATCACCTTTGGATTCCCTAGTTTTCTATTGTATTAGATGCTTGCTGATAGGATAGGTGTTTGGAAATCAAAGTTCAAAGAGAAGCTGAGCAACAAGAACATCAACTATGGACTGGATGGGAGCTTAAATTCTGTCAATTTGCAAGTGATGTGTTTTTAGCTTCATGAAATTAATCTGACTCAAGAAGACTTTCTCTTTTCTAAAAATGGAATATTGTAACTTCATAGATTTTCATGAAGTTACATTAAATACTGCTCCGAGCCTGATCCAAGGTCCCAGTTATATCTGTTATGACTTTAATAATCATAAAAATATTATTCAAGTCTAATGTGTGTATTTTGATGGCACAGCATTCAATAAATTTCAGCTATATACAGGTCAGAGAAACTGGTGGAACTAAATAGAGAAAATGATGTCTTTGGGGAAAAAATTAGCTCAAAACCCAAACAATTTCTAAGTGAACTGTGGTACACAATTATTTTTTCAAACTGACAATTATCCGGGAAGACATGTTTATAATAAATGTGACTGTTATTAATTGCAGGCAGTAAGTAAAAGGAGGGTGGGAAACAGCTAATCTGGGAAGTCACTGTGAAGGTCGGAAAGTCCCAGAATATTATTCCCCATCTTAGATTCCTAGTTCTCGTATTACTTGGGGGTAGTAATTTAGTAGATGTGATACTATAGTGCTAGGAAAAGGCTAACTTAAGAGACTCATTACCAAAAGGGTAATTTATTTATTTTTTGCCATTGGGATTCAGTTTGTGCTTATATGTGAGCCCATAACAGCTCAAAGGTTTTCACTTGTTCAGCAAAATGTGCCTAGAGACTAGCTCATGGGTGGTCAATCTACGAACCTGGTTCCTACTGCTGCCCACACCTGGGATGGTTTCACTTGGGGTAACCGAAGTGTGTATGATGTCCTAGATTCTGCCACTACTAGATAATGGATCCGGCCATATGTTCTACATTTGCAACTTGAGAACATTTCTTAAACCTGATCCTCAGTTTCCTCCTGTGTAAAATAGGGATAGTGATAACTGCCTGTACTGAATTGTGATAATTAAGTGAGAATGAGTTCGCATATATTATTTAGCTCAGTATTTGGTAGATAGCTTGTACTCAACAAAAATTCCTTCTATCCTTCCTCTCTTCCACCCCTCTGTGACAGTTCCTCATGAGTGTTAGACTTTAATAACTTACTCGAAAATTAAGCAAAAGAACATAGTTTTTTCATGCTGCCCATATTAAAGTTAATAATAATAACTTGAGAACACAAAGTATACATCAGGGAGTTCTCTAATCCTCACGCCACCTTGTGATATAGATATGTTATCATTACACAAAGGAGGAAACTGAGGCAGGAGTCTAAGTAGAATATCTAGTGAACATTTGTAGGAAGTAGAGTAGATGACATACCCAGGCACTGTGGCCCCTGGATGTTGAGATTTTGACTTTGACCTTTGTTTTCTCCTACCAAGTTTGGTGATTGGGCTTAGTAACTATTAATAAAGGACAATGCCTTTTGTAACAAAATGGTACATTCTTTTGAGGGATTTCATTGCATATTTTATTTCCATTGAAGTCTTATGTGGTATGACAAAGAGTTGAGGTTGCCAATTATTTTGCAAGATGCTGGCCTTATAGAAAGAAAATCTTTCTTTTTATTTTATAGTTGTACATTTTTCTCCTACAGTTTTTTTAAACCTATATAAACCCCACAGAAGGGTGTCTTACATACATGAGGCATGAGAACCACAGGGATGTATAGAAGACAATTTACTGAGGTACCAAAAAAAAATAAAGGAGCATTATTGATTTAATCTTGTTTGTTTAAATGGTCAATTTTTAATGTGTTTTAATAAGTAATATGTTATTTATTATTAAAACAGTCCATCTCTAAAATTTATATATGAATATTATATGTATTTTGGAAATGAACACTCAATTATTTGTTTACTGGTAAAGAAGACATTCAAACAACTTGGCATACCCTAGAATTTAGGAACCTAATATTTAATGTTTTATTGCAATGAATCAATTTACATTTTCACATGATAATTTAAGCTGTCTGGTAAAGACTCACTGGATTTATGGGCAATATCAAAGTCAACAATATTTGTGGAGGATACAAAATTTTGAGCTTTCTCACATATATCTAAACCAAAATGAACTCAAATATTATTGGAGGAAAGAGGAGAAAAGAAGTAAAAAGAAACTACTCTTCAAAGGAAGGGTGAGAGCAAAAAAGGGAGGGAAGGAGAAAGGGAGGGAGAAATATAAAACCAGGAAAGAAAGAGAGGAAAGCTGACATCTTTTTCACACAGCATTTTCTCTGTAAGAAATCGTTAAGATTACAAATGTACACAAAAGTCTTGATCTTTTCCACACAGGAAATAAACTCTCTCAGTAAGAAGTACAGCCTTCCTTCAGTTCAGTATATTGAGATATTATTCCTAAAATGAACAAATCTTGGATTTGGGGACACTTGTGGGAAGTAGTTTTCTATTGTTGATGACCTGGCAGACACTCATTTTCTTTTTAGTTAATGAAATCTTATCTCATGTTTATTTATAGCACTGTTCTATAAGCTTTAAACATGGGGTGATCTTCCAACCCCACACTACTAATCTGAAATGATTCTGTTACTAACTTCATTTTATAGATGAGGAAACAGACCAGACAGGGTAAGTAACTTCCTAGGTTTACACAGCTGTGACAGAAGAAAGATTCAAACTCGAATCTTGTGGTCTCTTGCTCCCAACTACCACACCACTACTGCACATGACTTTCCCATCTCTTCCCTCTTTCACATTTTTTAAGATGTATTTATTTATGTATGCGGAACTGGGGTACAGGCCAGAGTTGCAGGGGCGGCGAAAGGATTCACCAGAGACAGAACGGGGAACAGAACAGTCAGATTGACGAAGTACATTGCTGAGGGGAGCAGTGAGCGAGACAGGAAAGGTCTGCTGCACCATGTGGGTCACCTCCCTTGCCGGGGATCCAACTCATGTGAAGGGGCTGTGGCTAGTTTGATAGCGCTGCTCTCCAACCCGTTATGCCGTCATGGAGGGTCCACGTTCACATTTGATATTAACTTATTTTCCCTTTTAAGGATACCTCTCATTTTCATTTGAACAGACCTATTACAGATTCCACAAAGTAGGAGTAGGGTGGAGGTCATGCCGTTGGGGAATTCCTAGGGTACTATGGAAAAATCAGTTAAGATCATAATACTAAAATGTAATGAAGAACATTATCATCACAACTCACATTTTATGTTGACTTAGCACATCACTTTTAAGGTATTCCAATACACAATATTTTATATTTAACTTTTTTTCAGGTAGACACTATTTGACCATTTTCTGATAAGGAAAGAGGCATTGTTGAAAAATATTAAGCTACCATCACAAATTTACCATATAAATTTAGATAATTTGATTCTTGGTTCTGTGCCTTTTAAATTATTTACCCAATTGATATCCTTTGACAATGGGAAATTTTGATGGACAATTGTTCCATAACCCTATTAAAGTAATTCTTTTGACTATTTAGAGAGCCAGATAAACAAGGGAGTTCTACACCAGTTCTTAGGATGTCAGCGACTCTATTGAGAAGGATTCTGAGGTTGAATCTCAGTTCTGTAGGAATAAGTGCAGTGATTGATTAGTCATGTCTTTTGTAGGCACGTGTTCAGTGATTGATTAGTCATGTCTTTGCCAGGTACATGTGCAGTGATTGATGGAACACCTACAGCATATTCATTGAAACTCTCATTGAGATTTATGTTTTGGAATTACTGTCAGCTATTGCTCCTTCCAGGTAAAGTTATCCCTTTGGGGCTCCTATTGCACTATGTTCATGATTATGTGATTTATTCTCACTCTCACTACTGAAGTTAGAGACCTCATGTATCTAGATATGCTTTTAGTCTGACACAAATCCTGGGCCATAGGAGGACTTGGTAAGTGTTATTGAACAATTTATGACAAAATAATTTGGTGAGATGCACTTTATTCTGCTAAAGAAGGCTAAGAATTCTGTGAAAGCATCTTGAATTGGCACAGGTCAAGAGATTTTCCTCCACACTGTCTCCTTCCTGAGATGGGATGTCTTACATCACAACCACTGGGACTCTCCAAAGACATTAGTATTCCAGGAGGAGACTAAAATTTTCTAAAGTTGCTCCCTCTAACTGACCTACTGTACTTTGTTTGGAATTAAACTGCCTGTGTTTCCTGCAAACTTCATCAGTTCCCCCACAGACATGAGGATAATCGTTTCCATTGAGACACTTGCTAGGAGACCTTTACTAAAAATGTCCTGAAGAAGAAATTATTCTTCACCTGCAGGGTCACTTGGTAGCTAGAGCAGATTTCTCCTTCTTCTTTTAATCTGTTCTACTTCACTGCATCCTTTTGTGTGTATTCTTAAAGCTATTGCCTTATTTACTTTGATGGTTTCTCAACTAATTGAATACAGCAGTGAATACTTTCTTCCCTGACTCTGGATATTTCTTTTACCCCAAGAGGAAAGGTCCCTATCGGTTAGCTTGACTTTGAGATAGTTGCTTACTGAAACTACTTTAAAAGTTACTGTTATTTATGAGGCTGATAAAAATTTTTACATTTGCCTACAACATACAGAATAGTCAGTGGTAGAAGTATTTCTGATTTGTAAATATAGAGGAGTCTTTTTTGAGGAAAAGAAAAATGAATATGTTGTGTCAATTGATTTTTAGGTCTGTGTTTGTATCTGTGGTCAAAGGTCCCAATGTCATTTTTTTAATTAAAATATTATCTACATATAAAGATAAAGAACGGAAACTGCTAAATGCAAATCATGGGAACATTACTGGGGAGAAATAAGTAATTGTTTCAGAACCAGAGCCTTCTGTTTTTGACCTCATAGTGAATAATATTTTCTGATTCTTCCCTATCAGAAGATATTTGTTAACTGTGACAATATAACAGAGAGAGAAAGAGCGAGAGAAAGGAAATCTCCCATTACCAGGTAGTTTTATAAATTTTATCGCAGTCCTTCCTCTAGCCTCCTTTCCATCCCCACCTACCAAATCCTGTTTATAAAATACTCGCAAAAATTTAGATTAAAAAAATGTACAAAATTAAAAATAAACTTATAAAATAAAAAATAAAAAATAAAATAAATAAATAAAAAATAAATAAAATACTCGCATATAAAATAAATAAATAAATAAATAAATAAAATACTTGCAAAAGCACTTTTCATCAAGATAAAGATTTTACTTGAAAAGCTATAAAATTCTGAGAGTCCCACCACCTTCTCTGCTCTCCCTGCCTGCATGCTTACCCTTACCATGGCTCTCCAGAACTCAGGATTTTCCAAGCTTCTATATTTAGTGCACTGCATGTGTAATGAATCATAGTGTCCACCTGTAAGTGTCATAAACAGACGGTATAAATATGCTTGCATAATGTGACTCAAAACACATCTCCCATTTTAGCCGGAGTTCAAACAATGTTCGCAGTTCCAAGAACCCTGTGGCTTGCAACTGAAGACTCCGTGGGCGGAAAATCCCGGAAAACTGAAAGCCCGGCTGCTCGCTGCCTGTCAGTGCAGGCTGGACAGAGGGGCAGAGAAGGTGAAGTAGGGGAGGAGGGACAGGAAACCTGGTTTCCTTTAGCCCTTGAAGTCAATCGTTTTAAAACTCCCAGGAAGCGGCACTGCGAATACCATAGGAGTGTTATGGTTTCTCGCAGGTTCTTCCCTATTCCTGGAAGAGCCTTCCCTCTTTTCCACCGGTCTTGTTCTCTACTCTCGTTTCAGTGTGCTTTCCTAAGGGCGGGGAGGTCTTCCCAACCCACAGACCTTGCCATCTGCCAGATGCCACACGCGTGGAATCTTCTGGTGAGGGACTGTGCTGTCCCCGCTGATGAGAAACCAGTGGGACACACACAGAGCTTGGCACTTCAATGAGCATGCCCAGTCCATTTGAAGATGTCATCCAATAAACAATTCATAAAGCTAAACTGTCCGCTTCAATTTTCACTAGGATATTATCTGATTTTGAAAGAGCGATAAATATTGACTTCAATTATTTTTATACCTCTGAACCATATAGAGTTGTGGACTATTGTTACCTCCGTTAAAAAAAAATACAATGATAAATCCAAATTTTATTTTTTTATTGCAGTAACATTGCATTGTAACTTGTAAGTTTCAGGTGGGCATCTGGAGAATCACCATGTATATGATTTCACTGGTGTGATACAGAGAAGACAAGTAAAACAGAAGACTGAATAAAACAAATATAAACTCAAAGATTTTTGAAGGAAAGTGAAAAATTTCTTTCTTGGTTCTGTGAGGTGTCATTCATCATTCAGGACAAAATCTAGAACATCCTCTTCCAAGCTCCTCTGGGCTGCCCTGGCAGGCAGTGAGTTTCTCTTCTGCTCACCCACATGCTGGCTGTGTCTTCATGGCCTCGTTTCATCCTGGTCACTAGCTACTTAAGGCTGTAGACTGATTTGCTGGTTCTTCTGCCTGAATCTACTTATCTTAGGACCTGACATATTGCTCAGCATGGAGTAAGGCTTCACATTTCTGGAAAGATTGAAATGTTCAAGTGAAAAATAGAATGTCTGTTCATTTAGCCAGCATTCAATAAATATTTATCAAGAGCCCAACTGTTTACCTGTTACTGTTTTAGGTGCTTGGAAGACACCAATGAAATATTCCCTATTCAGATAAATACCTTGAAAGCTTTTAACTTTCACAAAATGGAGTATAATGATTTCCAAGTTCGTTTTGTAACTTGGTTTACCTAAGGTTCACACAGGCGCTGAAGGCAAGTTGCTAAATACAAGCATCGAATTCCAAGCGACTAGGAGTCAAGCTTAATAGCCTCTCTTCAGTAATGAATGAAACTATACCCTGAAGATGTGTACTTTATAAAGGAACAAAACGTAGCCAAGTGAGCAGATAACTTCTGTTAGCCACTGTTAACATTATTCATGGACAATATCAGTAGAGTGATAAATGTTTTCTAGAAGCATCCTAAAAAACGGTCCTGAAGACTAAAAGATTGGGATTTCTTGAACCAGTTCTTAAACCTGTACTTAATTAAATTACATTTTTAAATGTGCCTAGCCCTCCTTCTTCATAAAATACTCTTCATTATATTTAAATCAAACTCACCTAGAAATAGATGTTCATGTGTTTGTTTTAAACTAGAATCATTAAAAATGCAGAAGAATTTCATGTTTCGCCTACCTTATCTTTTCTAATGCTGCTCTATTAGTTAAGGGGTGTTTACACAACTAGGACTTGAACATTATCAGTCATTTCAAATTATATATGAAATGTAACAATTCATGCCAATTATTCTTCACTGGAATACTGCATCTCTGAGCCAGTAAGCAAAATTTTAAGGAGCAAACCTTCCGTGTTAATTGGAAAGTCAATAAATTCTGATGGGGTGAATTTTGTGCCTTCTATTTTGCTAATTTTAGAAGCTGCCTCAATTTAAATCCATGGCATTAGCACCATTAATATTATTCTGTGGAAAGGCAGATGGTGACTTTTTATTCTTCTAGCCTATAAAGGAGACATGTATCAAATTATTCCCAGATTTATACTAACAGGACTTAACATTTCTTAAAGGGCTTTGTAGCACTGCAGACTTCATAAACAGATCTTGTGATTCATCATAGAACTTAGTTCCCTATGGATGAGCTACAGCAGCAATTACATTTAAGACAGAGGCTCTAATGCAGTTTAGGGATAGGGAATGAATGTCCTCTACAGTCAAAGCACAGGAACGGGGAGGATTTACTCCTGTTAAGCTTGGTAGAAGCTGAAGACTTTCCTGTGGATGGAAATGGAATAAGCAGTGTTTCATCATCGCTGAATCTACATTTCAGGTCAAGACCTTAATGACCCTATAAACTTGTTGGACATCACCACCTTTTGGTCCTGGAAACACCAATTCTTAGCAAAATTGCGAAGTAGAACTCTGTTCACTTATGTTCTACCTTGTCTTTCCATCACTGGGACTAGGAAGAATGTGCTAGATTCCTTTGTAGAAATAAAGCTAGAATTGCATTCTGCACCCAGATGTAAGCTGGTCTCTTTAATTTAGTAGTCACATGACCTGCAGAAATTAATTCCCCTTCTCGAAACCGTATGTTCCTCTGTACCTTGCAGCTGGCCCAGCCCCGATGGAAAACAGTATGGAAGTTCCTCAGACTATCAAAAACAGCTATACATATGACCCAGAAATTCCATGCTGAAGTGTCCACTCCAAGAATAAAATGGATAGGTGCACTCCTGTGTTCATACAGCACTGTTTGCAATAGCCAAGTTTGGGAAGCCACCTAAATGCCCAAAGACAGAGGAGCAAGTTTAGAAGCTGTGGGACAGAAACATAACAAAAACTATTTCACTGTAACAGAAGATGGGCTCTTGCCATTTGCTACAATGGCAACTGGAGAGCATTATGCTAAGTGAGATAAGTCAGAAGGCAAAAGACAAAAATAACTGGATGATTTCACTCATATGTAGAATATCGAGAGGGGGAAAAAACAACAGGCAAAGTGACACCAAAATTAACCCTAGAAATATTACTTCAGAACTGAGACCACTAGAAGGAGAAGAAGGGTATGATATGAATAGGAGCAAAGAAGGAAGGAGACCCAAAGGTGTCGGGTAAAGGACAATGGAAATAGAGGGTCACATATATCTGAGGAGGTGTGAACCTACTAGCCATATACAGTTTGTAAATCACTGCACCTCAATCATGGAGAACAACAAAATAGGTCTAGACAGTGACACATCCCCCGAGTCCTCTTCCACCTCCCATGAATAAATGACAGCCACCCCGCCCCCCGATCATGGCAGAGGCCTGACCCTCCCCACTGTGGCTGCCTCCTCTCTAGTCCCAACTCGGCACTCAGAGTGACCTTTAAACTATAAGGAGGGTCATGTCATTCTTTCCTCAGAAGACTTCCAGTGGCTTCCACCTTGCTCATACTAAGTGCCAAACACTGAAAATATCCAGAAGCCCCTCCCTACCTCACTCCCATCTCTCTGACAGTGCTCCCTGGTCTCTTCCCTCTCTCACTGCAGACGCCTTCACCTCCCTCTTCAATAGGCACTACGGTGGCCTTTGCCCTTGACAGTTAACTCTCCTGGATGCAGCTGCAGTAATCCGAGTCCCTCCCTGATGCCCACATGGTGGATATTTAGGTCTTTGCTTACATTTCAGCATCCTAGTAAAATCTGCCCTAAATACCCTGTTTAAAACTATAAACTGCGCCTTCACCTCTGCCTCCCAGTCCTGCTGACACTGAAATTTTGTTGCATGTATCACCATATTGTGCACCATACGATTTACGTATTTATTTTTTTCTGAAGATTTATTTACTTATGCATACAGAACTGGGGTACAGGCCAGAGGTGCAGGGGCGGTGAGAGGATTCACCAGAGACAGAGTGGGGAGCAGAACAGGCTGAGTGATGAAGTACACTGTTCAGGGAAGCAGCAGCTGGGTCAGGAGAGTTCTGCTGGGCCATGTGGGTCAGCTCCAGGGCTGGGATCAAACTCATGCTGAAGTGGCTTTAGCTTCTCAATGTTGTGCTTTAACCCACTGCACCACAAGGGAGGGCCTTGATTTACATATTTATTATGCTGCTTACTTATTGCCTGCCTTACATCCATTTCCCCTAATATAAATTACAAAAATGCAAGAATTCATGTCTGTCTTGTGCATATCTCATTTGCACAATGAATACAAGGATGGTATTCCTGACCATGTATTTTTGAGGGTGGTGTTTTCAGGGAAAACTTCAGAAAGACAAATCCTGGCATAGAGGTTTTATTCATTTATTTTTTTAAGAAAAAAAGAGGAACATTTTAGAATGAGAATTGTTGCAATAGAATTTACTGAGCAGCACTAAAACTGAGATTAAACATGTTCCAAAGACTTCCTTTAAACCTCCAATATCAGAACACGTTAACTATTCAGCTTCCTCCTCCCTTTCAGATATCTATGAAACTTGGAAAATATTCCAGTTTTAAATTTGAAAGTGGATAACATTTAGTGAAATACATCAAATATGTTATTTCTTTCAGAAATTTGTATCCCAGTCATTTCTTTCAGCAAACAACAGCATTCACTCCAGTCTGTATTTATCTTTCCATCAGTTTGTTTGAGGTCAATACATTCCATGAAGGCTGCAATTGTATACAGTCATTTGGAATTAGAAGAATAGATCTACATAGGCAAGAGGCATTTGTGGCTGCTTTTGTTTTAGAGGGGTGTCAGTCAGTCTTGAGCTACAGCTACTTTTGTCCCTAGCCAGATAATTCAGGTTAAACTTTGCATGGATGCCTTTTCCTTCTGACAGTCCCATTTATCAGGAACATGTCCACAGCCAACATAAAGAAGGCTGGGAGTAAGGAGTATTTATTTCCATTTATATACTGAATAAGCTTTGTTCTCAGTTTTTGGGCCCCTGTTTCAAGAAAGCAATTTAAATATTGCATTTACATGCCTCTGGTTGGTTTAGGGATATCAGTATTAAATTTTGACAAAAGACACATTGATGGGTACCTAGGAGTTATTTCTCATCCATCCATCCCCGGGATAGTCTTTAGGAGCTTTGGTCTCAGTTTCAATGAAGAATTACTCCAAGGTTTTGAAAAGGGGGATTGGGAGAGTTGTTATTTTGCTAATGTAATAATACATTTTACTACCCTTAATAGTAGGATTTTTGTTGGATCTAGATTATTTGTGAGACCTCAGGTCTGCATTATCTGTGAATGACTACAGGAAGCTCTGGAGTACAGCATACTGTCAAGGACCAGTCTTCACCACCCCCACTCCCTCCCCCCCCTCACACACACACAACACAGACACACAACTTCTTGTATAACCCCGAGAAGGAAGTGTCACATTGAAGCCTGGTTACAAGAAAATATGAAGTTCCTTGCTTCTACATTCTGTGGAATAAAATATATACATGCTGCAATAGGAATGTGAGGGTAGACTTATACTTCATCAAATAAGAGTTCTCAGGCTCTACTTTTTAAAACCACAATAGGCCTGTGCAAGACCACTGCCATGTTCTTTCTAAACAAGTTACATTGTTGGGGTCTCCCTAGTGGACCCCACTCCCTAGTGGACTCTCAACACTTTCATGGCTATGGACTGAGTTTGATCTCCGGCCAGGGTTCCCTGCTGCTCCCCTCAGCAGTGTACTTCAGTCAGTCTGCCTGTTCAGCTCCTCACTCTGTCTCTGGTAAGTCCTCTCACCCTGCCCTGCACCTCTGGCCTGCACCCCAGTTCTTCTAGGCTAAAAAAAAGTCAAAAAATTAAACAAACAAACAAAAAAACAGTGAATCGGGAATTTACATGGATTATCATAACTAGATAACTTTTGTGTAAGATATTCATACAATTTCAGTAACATGCTTTATGCCTACCTAGTTCATGTCATTTTTCAGAATTTGTTCTCCAGCCCAAATCTACTATCTATTCCTTCAAGAATGTGGAAATTGACTGCTAGGTCACGCATTTGATCTTTGCTTTCGAGAGTAAATGGAGAGAAAGTGATACTGAAATATCTGGCAATTCAATCCACTGAGTGGAA